TCTTCCTTTTGACAGGTGCACCTGTCAAACTTTCCACCTTCATGTTTTATTTAATAATTATTTTGATTAAATATTTTTTCTAATTGTTTGTAACAGTTTGCTCCTGATTTTTTTAATATATCTATATCTCTGGTTATTTTCTGCTCCAGAATATTTTAGGGGACTATTTAATATGAAGCAATATCAATTTTAGAATATTTTAGGAGTTTAGTTCTTCATTTCAAAGTACACATTTCCTCTTTCTATTTGTGCCCTTCTATTACCATGAAAATTGGGAATTATTTTAGAAAAGCAAGTTTCTCAATGTAAATCAGTAAACATTACAGAAAGAAAGAAAGATGTTGACAGAAAGGTTATGTGAATGGTTTGATTTGAAAACAAGAATTTATCCCAGAATTCAGTTTCTCCAAAGTTCTTACTTGATTTTGGGCCAGCAGATGGCCTCATTGTGCAGCTAAAGTTGTTCTGTAGGATTTGGTCTTTGGCCCAGTTGAACACCTCAGCTCTTTGCTCCTCCGTCATAGAGGTGTACACCTCCTGCAGCATGCTCATCCTGGAGGAAATGGACATCTTAGTTTCGGGGAAAACAATGTACATGAAGAATATGGCGAGAAGAAGTATTAAACCATACTCACATATTCACCATGTTGCGCGCGCCCACTCTGGCGGGGAGCTTCGCTCTGGCTGACGGTATGTCTTGCAGCACAGGTTTGGCGGCCCACAGCAAAGTGTTATAGTCATTGGAATCAAAGGAATTTTCACTTTGTCCTGTCAAAGTGGCCCAGGACAGAGGGGCCACAAAAGCATTCATGTAGCAACAGGATGGGTCCTGTGGGAACAAACAAACAAGAAGGTCAGATTGCAACAAACCAGAAATTGTTCAAATATATATGATAGTGTTTAGTTTTACTGTATTGACTGAAGAGTTCTTCATCATCCTTATCACAGCTGGAAGGTTACTGCAATTCCACATCTTGTTTTTTAACAAAAGAAAGAACAAACCTTTAACCACTTACAGATGAAAATAATTGGGTTATTTGAATGAATATGTATTATGACATTGAAACCAGAAGTCTACATACACATACAGACGTTGTGTACTAAAAACACAACATTATTAAAACTGTGTGACATTAAACTAGACTATTTATTGTCTTTCTTAGGTAAGTAAGGATTAATAGAATAATTGTTTTGTTTATACCTGAATAATGACTGTTTTAAGAAAAAAAAAAAAAAAGCAATTACATTTGTTAAAGTTAGAATTTTACATACACCACAAATACCACGGCTATAAACAATCTGGGAGAGTCTAGATGATGAAGTCATGGCTTTGCAAGTGTCTGACAAGGTCATTCTCAAGACATGAGTTAAATAGAGGGACAACAATCGATGTCAAAGTATGTTGGGCTGTAATCTTCATAGCAACCCTGTGTCATGACCTATCGTCACATATCAAAGAAAAAAATGTCAAAATCTTAAAAACACCATCCAAGCTGCAACAAACAGGTTGTGTTGATTCATTAGGAACTGGTGTACCTCATGGAATAGATGTCATCATGAAAACAAGAACATGATGTGTCACTACTGAAGCAACATCTCAAGAGAACAGACAGAAAGTCAAAGCTTAGATAAAGATCAGATAGGCAATAAGCATATTCCAAATTAATAGAAAGTGGTCTAATGATAACCAAGTCAGTGTTTTGGCATGGCTGCCACGCAGCAATCCCAGAGCTGGAAAGGTGTGTGACAGCAAGGAAACCCGACCTCAGTTACTCCAATTCTATCAAGAGGAAAACCCTAAAATTCCAGCAAACTATAGTGAGGAGCTTTTTAATGTAGAACAATAACCAAGTCAGGGCAAGTTCAAAAGCATTTCTGTCAGATCTTTTCAATTGTAATCCCAAACGACCTTAAACAGGAAGTGTCAAGTCTGATTGATTTTCAGACATAAATGATTTCTCTTAATAGTCTATGTAAACTTCTGGTTTACATAGACTATTATGTAAACCATTTGAACAGTTTATATGTTTTGTTAGTTTTTTATTGAAAAACAAACACACAAAACAAAAACGTAGAGGTTGTGTGTTAATATCGGTGAATGTATTCATACCCTGGTCTCGGCAGAGTCCATGAGGGTTGGACTCTGTGAGTTTTTGTTTGTGACTCCAGTAACCATGTTCAGGATAGAAAGGAAGGTGGACAGGAAGTTGTTGGACTGGTCAGCAGTTCTACCTCCTTCTGACAGGTTACTAAAAAAAGACAAAAAAAAAAAAAAAAAAAAAACAAGATTGAAAATGAAGAAAAGAAAAAAAAAACAAGTGAGCAGTAAAGGTTTCCAATTCTCCAGACAAATATGTATGTTAAAAAATAGATACACTTGAGACTTTAAAATATGTAAAATACAATTACCTGCTGTTGAAGATATTTCTCAACAGAGTCATCTTAGGCAGAGGGTATCCTGTAACAGCAAATACATTTATGTGATGCACAATCAAAACGTAAAAGCAGTAGTTCACCTGCTGTGCAAATATTGACTGTATTACACCACAGCATTGTGGATCTTCCTTCTCACTAATGGAGGCTCATTTGGATTTGAGGCATATCTTTCATCTAGGTTCATCTTTATTTTAGTTTTAAATACCAATAACAGTAAAAGAAAAGCAGTTAATGAAAGTAAGTGTTTTCTTACCCTGGTTGTAGCATTTCATCATCTAATAAAAGGAAAAAAGAAAGGTTGATTGGGTATTTTCAGAAAGGCATTTGGTCTTGAATGTTGACACTGTAAAATGACGGAGAGCAAACCTTTTGCATTATTTTATACATTAATAACAATGAAGAAAGGGATGTATATTTAAGATTATTAATATATATCATTAATAATTATTATATACTCTTCATATTCATTAATAATAGGTCTTAAAAATTTATTGGAATAATAAAAGTCTAACACTGAATAATATTTTTAACTCAGGTTCAGGTTTTACCATCTAGCAAAGTACTGGTCAATGATGACCAAGAATGAGATAAAATCATTTCAGCTAAACTAAAATTCACACTAAAATCTCTTTTCTAAAGAATTTTCTTACCAGTTTCTTAGCGATGAAGACCGTGTTATCTGCAGACATAATATCTGGAGGCCCAGCTGGACACACAAAAGCTATAAACCAATATAACATATTATCATAACTTGTGAGTGCAAACAATTACAAAGTAGTGTTCTTAAAACATGTCACACCAGTAACAAGGTTTGATATGTTGATGATGCTTTGTTACTAACCAAAGGCTGTGCAGATCATAATGAGCGCAAATAAACGCGTTGCTCCATTTGGAGACATCTGGAAAAATTCTGCCTGTCTGTCTGAGACACATTTCAAGAATATTAACATTTACAAATATGAAGAAATGAATCAGGCAAAATAAGACAAAGAATCCTTCAGTTACATTTTTGCTCTCATCCCATTTCTTCAATGATGTAAAGCAGGATGCCAAGGTTTTCTGAAAGGTTCACGGTTGTTATGGAACATGTCTCCAAGTGAGACGCCTGAAGTTTACTGATAAACTTCCTCCTCTGAGGTTTTGAAATCATACCTCCCTGGTAACCATCTTTGTTACTCACCCAGAGGGAGACTTCGGGACAATCGAGGATAACACAGAGCGAAAAACAGACTAGTTAACTCACAGTGACATTTTGTTCACCTTCTCTGTCTTCTTTTTTTCTAATTGCATCCTCTAAACATGTTTGGAGGATGCAAATTTCTTGGAAATGTGCAGGATGCTTTTTATTTGCATTGCAGTGATTTCACTTCCTATTTAAATGTATGACCTCAGGAAACTGTCCAGAACAACAAAGACATTGACTACCTGTTTACTGCAGAGTCCAAGAATTGTGTATGTTCTCCTGAAAAAGAAGCAATTGGATGTCATCACTGTGTACATTTAATTCTACTGATTAATAGCGTGCAGACATCGGATTGCTTGCAGATTTCAATTTAATTTAATTAAAGATTAGTGCCTGCTGACGAATCATGTTTTGTCTTTATTGTGGATTTTTTGAAAAACAAATTCAGATGAAACAATATGTAGACAGATTGGTTTCTCTGTTAATTTATTAAATGTTTGTTGTTGTCCAGCTTTAAAAGAAACAGTAAAGAGATAGACAGTATCTCTGCTTAAATTAGCTACAACATACAGATTAGTTGTCTTTTTCCCCATTTCTTTGTAAAATAACTACTGAAGTCATTCATTTCATTTTAATGTATCCATTACTTACCAAATATCGTCCCTCTTTAGTCGATCTTTTGAAAAACAGGGCAAAGTGAGTGTGTGTGCTCTTCCTCTAATCTCTCATCTGAAATGAGCCGGATGGGTGTCTACCTGTCCATCCTTATTCAAAGGAGGTGTGTGGCATTGTGTAATTCGTGTTGGAGGAAGGGTGGGGGACAGAGAGCAATAACCCCCTCCCTTCCCACTCCCCAAAATCGGAAAAAAATCAAAACAGCAATTTTATCAACGGACTGAGCTAGAATTGACATTATAAATAATTTAATAACCTACAAAACTGCTTAAATTACAACATTTTCAAAGATAATTCACAAAAACTGATTCAGAATGAGTCACAGACAAAAGACAGCATGGAACAAAAAATTGATGGGCTCCACCCGCCACAGCATTACCCAATTTGAGTTACTCAACTAAACAACAAGAGGAGGCAAACACACACTAAAAGCTCTATTCAGATCTTCACAGAAAAAAATCAAGTAAACACAGAGACGTCAGAATTACACAATGCTACAGCTGAAAAGCTTCAGATGACAGTGAAGTCTTCTTTTCTTTGCAGGAAGTAAACCTTCTCTAATAGATATAATATTTACCGATGTTTTTGCTGTTTTATCGGAAGGATGTAAAAATATAACGACAAATACATTTGAAGGAGATTATATTTTCTTGAAAAATATATTCTGCATTTGGACTAGTAGCCACACAAGACCAGACCACATTACTTTCTTTTCCCCAAGTTTATTTGTGTTTTAAGTTAAGGTGCAAAATGAAGGCAGCAAACCAACTGTTACAAAGTCACATTAAAATAAGGCCAATTAGTTGAACAAGAGACAAAAATAAATCTGGAAACAATACTGTTTGTTCACAGGAATTCCTCCTCTTTCACAATCCCACATCAGTTTAATCGTCTGAGGCACTTCTAGGAATATTACAATGAGTAATATGAATACAAGTATAATGGCTCAACACTGATGTAAATTTAGAACCCATCCACATCCGATCTCTGTCTCAAGAAAGGTTCGAGGAGGATGTTATCAGGTCTTTCAATCCGTTTCACTGTTTTCTTTCAATACAGAGTCAGAAGGATCGCTTAGGGAGGAGAAGTGATCTGAAAAAGATAATTAGCATTACAAATAGCCTTAACTGAATCTCCACCAATTTTGATCTTGCTCTGTAGCTGTCTTTACTCTATTATATTAGTTCATATTCTTCTATCTGGCCAACATTTTGTCTCTTGAACTGTTCCATGCGACACCAGTTGTCTTCATGAATAAACTACATTTTATATCACTTGAAAAGGTTGTAGTTTGTGTCAAAAGCAACTAAGCAAAGTAATCTAAGAGAATAATATGCAACAATAATTATATGAAAGAACACTTGACTCTCTCTGTGTCAGTTATCTATGTTAACTAGGATTTAACGCAGATTAGGGTGACTGTTGGCATCAGGATTAAACATGTAACTATAAGAGGTTGGAGCAATAATCCCCAAAGTGTGTCTATGTTTATGACTCACCTGCAGCAAACTCACGAATGTCGGATGGCTTTTTAACCAGCAAATGTCTGTTAAATGAAAGAGAAACGAGACGAGGTAAATTTAATGTTTCATTTAATGTAATCATTTAAACCACTGCTCAGATATTGTAGGATTATATTACTACATTCTGTAAGATGATCAAACATAGGTCCAAAAGTGTTGGAGGAAATAAACATCGGCCTTTACTGAAAACATTTGTGGCACATAAAGCAGTAGTCACTGATTATTAAACACATACTTTTATTGATTTCGCGGTGAGTATATGTATATATGTCTTTTTATTAAGAGTATGTAAATGTCTGGATTTAGCTGTACGTTGATTAACTTGTAAACAATTTAGTCATATCCCATGTCCTAGTTGAACCTTTTTACTTTCCCCCCCATATTTATCAAGATGTGAAAAACAATCTTTAGTTTTCTAAACCTTTGTTTATTTCTGTATCAGAAAAATTTATGGGATTTTTTTTTTTTGTTGCCGTAAACGCTGATCAATTGAGAGCGTTTGAAACTTTAACAATCACTTTCTGGTCAAAAAAAAAAAAAAAAAAAAAAAAAAAAAACTGGAGGAAATAAACCGACCTTAGAAAGTCGCCAATGATTTCATCCACTTCCGGGTGGGCTCTCAGATACGTTTCGTTGTTGATTCTCGTTTGAATCTGAGGTCAAACAAACCAAACCGCAGATTCGGGATAAATCAATAAACTCATTTCCCGCCTGTGGCTTTCCTCTCCCTCCGCAGAGGAGTTACCTTAAACTGTCGCAGCTTCTCTTGTTGTTCGGGGTTTAAAATAGAAACGCTGGGATTCGTCTGAGTATCTTCCCCAACTTCTCCCATGGCTTTGCGAAACGCGTCTAAATGGCGACGTCCTCTGCTGCTCCGAAAAACCCAAAACCAAACGGTCACCAATGTTTGTCAAGCCGTTTCCATGAAACCGTTCCTATGGACGCGGACGGGTCTAACTGCTTTGCCCACGAGGGGGCGCTGTTGAGTCAGGTAAAAAAGGTTAACGTCAAAACAAATATAAATATAATTTTAAATGTTCATTTCAAACTGTGGAGGTTATCGTATTTCTAGACGTTCAAATTTTCTGGTATACAACTACTACTGCTTAAATATGTAAAGATGGAAATAAATGTACACCATCGCAATACAAATCTTATAAGTTAGTTGTTGATTAATCAACAACCAAAATTTATTTAAATTTAAAAACACTGTTAGATAAAAAATACCATTAGTTGATCACAGAATCTTTAATTAATTATATTATTTTTTAATCATGTCCCATCACTGTTTATTATTAATAATCAATCAATCAATCATTATGAGATAGGTAAGACAATGATCAGGTAGCAAAAGCAAAATACTGACATAGTAATTAATCAGTAATTTTCTCATAAACATGCCATAACTCAATATGAAATAATAGCTCATAACTTTGAGTTAGCTAATTCAAAATACCATTAGTCAAAAAGTCAAATGAATTTAAATCACATAATGTTGACTAATGATGACTCATAATTATGAGTAAGAAAATATTTTTAGTTCATGACAGTTTAAGAAACTTTCATAATTTCTGTATTTTACTACAGAAATTCAACATCAGTATCAACTTAAATTTTTCAGTAACATATAAAAATTAAATATTTATTGTGATGAAGTCACCTCTGCAGGTGATTTCAAAATTTTAACATGGTACCAGTAGACAGAAGAGAAAGAAACAAAACCACATACAAAAAAACATTCCGGCGCAAGTTTAAGCATGGCACGCACATATAGGAATAAATATACAATCTGTACAAATTTTCTCTGGGTGTTCATCCTTCAGCTCAGTCCTTTTTCGGTGATTTTCTAAAACTGGTTCCTTCATAACTACATCTGCAGGAAGAAGTAACTTTTGTTGTTGAAATTTGTGGCTGCTGATCTGTCCATCTCAGTTTGTCCATTCTCATTTTCCCCGTCTTCTTGCGCGTCGCTTTGTTTATAGAGCTGCGGGCCAGAGTCAGACATCAGGGCTTCTTCTTCTGAGGACGAAGGGATGGAAGGACGAGGTGGAGACAAGTCCTCACTGGGGGTGGTTCTATTTAGTTTGTAGAGTTTGGACATGAACCTGTCTTTGTGTCTGAAAAGCAAAAGAAAACCAATTGTTCAAATGAAAAAGGTGGCTAAATCTATCAGCCGAGATATAAACGTAATGGCTACAATGCAAACATTTTTTATTTTAATCAAAAATCGAATTGCTCAACCTTAAGATGTAGACAGCCAAAAGGACGCACATGATGGCAAAAACGGCAGCGATCCAAAGAATATAATAGTATACGTTGCATGAAACTGAGTTGGCACATGACTCATTTGTTGGACCTGCAGCAAAAAGAGAAGAAAACCACAAGAAATTATAATGGTTACATTATATTTCAACAGAACCATGTCTCTTGTGGCTTGTTTAGCTGTTGAGCCTGAGTTATTACGATGCCATGGTTTCCTGTTAAAACCCAGTGGACTGAAGGTCAGTTTCAGGGTGTTTTCTCCCACTTCTTGTGCTTTTCTCTCAAATATGTGTACTGAGAAAATTTACTGCCAGAAAAACTAACCATCAGGGTAGCTATCGTCAGGAAAACCAGAACCATAGTCGTCAGTGAAGGGCAAGTTGATCTGATGATGACAAATAAATTAACAAATAAAGAATAACAGGACAGAAGAATATGTTGAGATGGAGCAAGTAAAAGTGAATATGTTTATACTTTTCAACTGAAAGTTAAAGTTCCTACCGTTGTGGTCGTCAGATCACTCTTTTCTTCTGTATCAGTTGAAAGCAACAGACAGGAAGAAAATAATTTAATAAAACATGATATTTTTAAAAAGCAAAGACACAATAAAGATATTGTACATGGTATCAAAGAGTAATACAAAAAGCATCCAGGAGACATGCATGAAACACAATATTCCACTTACGCTTATTGCTAAATTTGAGGATTTTGAGACTAAATATTTGAAGCTATAAAAATCAGCATGTGGTTGAAGTTTAACTACAACTATTGTTAAATGCAAAGCAGGGTCACAGACAAACAATAGAAAATAATGATAGTTTTTTTTTGAGAAATACAGAAAGTAGAAAGAGATTAAAAAAATAAAGAAATTAGTGTTTGCAAAAGTTACTTGAATTGTTCCACACGTTCTCATTTCTCAACCACAAACCTCTGTGTATTTTATTGGAAATGTATGCAATAGACCAACATGGAAATTTGAAATAGAACAAAAAAAATAATATACAGGGGTAAAATCTTTTGCTATAAATAAAATTGGAAAGGTGCAGATTTCTCTTTATAAGTGAGCCTAGATCCCTGACAATAGTATTTCTTCACCTCTAACAACTTTTCTTCCATAATCACGCCACCGTTAGCTCAATCTGTCATCAGGCTCAATAAACTTTGACAAGCTGCACTTTGCCAGCTGACAAAAAGCATTTCCTTACCATGATACTGCAAACACCCTATTTCACCATAACAATGGTGAAACATGGTTCCTTTAGTGGCACACATCATATTTCTGATGTAGAAGAAAGTTTTGTTTTGGTTTTATTTGACCAAGGTACCTTCTCATACATGTTTGCTGTATCTTCAATATGCTTAAAACTGAGAACTGTGTCTCTTGTGCTTTTCTTTTCTGCTTGTCACTGTTCCATAAATGCCAGATGTGCAGAGGTGAAAGTCAACAGGTTCTTGCATCTGAGTAATCATGAACTTGTTGCCTGATTCTCTGATTACTCATATTCTTGCCTGTTAGTTTGCTTAAAATAATGTTTCAAGTGGGATGAATACTTCTGCAAGGCACTATAAATTTGTTCTCTGTGGATTTTGCCTTTATACTCAGCTGTTTTTTCCAAACTGAATTTGCAATGAATACCACTTTAAACTGATGCGTTGTACATTAATAGAAACCAGAAAAGCTACAGCAAGCTTGGATATTTCTTGTGATTCATGGTGAAGTCACAGGGCATGAGATAAGCAGAACAATATTGAGCCTCAGCACAAAATAGGAAGTTTTGTGAAAGAGATTTCACTTTCTTTCAATAACCTGGAAACAATGTGCTCTTCAAATCGCTAGTGTCCATAGTGTATAATCAACAAGCTCAGGACAAAATGTGAACAATTGATACACTTACTCAAACAGGAAGGCCAACAGGAAGAGGTAACAGGGAGTGGACTTTCACAAGTCTAATGTTTTAGAAAAATACATTGTTGGAGGAAGGAAACAAAAGACATTTGAGCTGAAGCTGTTATGATTAGTTAACATGGAGCTCTACCACTAAGGTGATGTGGCCATCAGGTACTTCTTTTAAAATTTTTTGCTTCTTTCTTCAGTGTTTATTGCCTTGGTCGTGTTTTAACTACCACTGCAAAAGCAAAATCTTTCTTCGAGAAACAGTAAGGCCCTGAATCTAGGCATTCACATCTATGCATGTGCTCTTCTCACGTGTGTATTTTTATCTACCTGTCCAACTTCTGGCAGAGACAGGTGAAGTCCACTCGCTCCAATGACCGTCGTATTCTTCTCTAATTCTGAGTTGAATCAGGTACTCAACACCAGGCAGAGCGTCAGTAATCAGGTATCTGCGTTCTTGAATTGTATTTTCCTGCAAGAATTCAAACAGACCACGAAACAAGAAGCCAATCAGCGGAAACATCCCAGGTTCATCGGTTTTGATCCCATGACTGAAATATTAACTCGTCAAGCATACCTGTTCATTTGAAGAGGTTGAAGGTCTGTATCTGATCTCATAGATCATGTCATAAAAGTCATCCGTCTCCCTCCAGGATTTTGGTAAGTTCCAGGTCACCTTTATCATTCTCTCTCGTCTCTCCACTGGATAGGCCATCACATTAGATGGGGGGTCTGGAATCACTTCAGTCGCAGGAAGGGGTTAACATTATTTAAAAAAAAAACCTTACTTTCGTCGAAACTGTCCCGTAATAACAGACTCGCTTACAAATATCCAGAGGTGTGAAATTGATCAGGGGACTGGTGGTGTTGCCCAAGAAGTTTGTAGCACACAGGAAAGCCTGATGGTTCGTCCTCCGCTCATCCTCAATGTGCTCCAGAGCACACCAACAGCGGGAGTGCTGATGTGAGTATGAGCAATGATTTTTCTGGAAATTCTCTTTTTTTCCATGAGGGAAATGACTGGAAAGAAAAAAAAGAAAATAATGTTTTTGAGAAGATGTAACAATGTAAAAGATAAACTTACAAACAGAAGCTCTGGATGAAAAAAATTTCAAACATTCAGTTAATTATGCATGAGGTAATTTACTTCAATGCTGAAGAACGAACTATGGGTCATTTTTTTTATTTATACAGAACTATTTTATTTTTTATTTTAAAAACATCAGTTTTGTTGTATGAACTTCAGGTGTGTCACTATTCCTGCAGAGATTCCTGACAGCACAAAGGTTTCAGTCAGTCAGTTAGGGTTGGATTAAACTCTCTGCCTTCAACTTTGTCTTTGTTTTGGCGACTATTTTAAGAGCGTTGAGGGGCAGTGTTGCAAAAAGAAAAAAAAAAGTCAGACTTAGGTGAATTTAAAACCAAAGTGCCTTACACTTTGCTCAGAAAAAGGTAGCAGTGAGGTCGCTTGATTACTGGTTTCTGAGGTTTCCATTCACAGCGAATTTTACTCCTGGGCGACTTCTTGTAGCAAGAGATATTTGGAGTCTCAGGCGGATCTAGGACATAGAAACATTAAATCAGACATGTGTTCGGGGTAGCAATAGATTTATTTCAGAGAAGTTCATGATGTTGAACATTTAATTAGCTTGATTATGTCTCTAAATTTCTTTTAAGGTACAAAGTTTGCTTTTCATGTTTGCATTATATTGGCTTTGGTTGATTTACCTATTTAAAGATTAGAGAGCTGACCTTAAAATGATTGGTGAGAAACATACTTCTGAAAAACATGAAATTGATTTGATTGATTATACAAGATCTCACCAGTCCTTCCATGAAATAATTGGTAAGAAACCTCAGTGATTTGGAAGCATACTTCGCACATGTTGATTTTGTCAATACATAAATTAGACTGATCAGTTCTTTTGATGAAACTGATAAAATTCTGCACACACTGAAATAGAGTCAGTTGCATGTCCATATAGGCATTGCGCTGTAACTCACCTGCAACAATCACCTTAACAGCAAGTGTTTCTTCTCCCCTGTGATAACACGTGTATGTCCCAGCGTCCGTCAGTCGGACTGAACTCAGAGACAGACCGCTCTTGTCACTCAGAAATGCAAGTCCTCCCCACTCTCTGTCTACGCTCTCCATCAGCTGTTTGTTCCACTGCCACTGAGGCTTCATTTTAACCTCTCTGGTTGCTCTGCTGCCTTCCTTTGACTCCTCGAGTTTCATCTCTTCATCCTCCCAGTCTGACTTTACCCCAATTGTGGTTTTGCTGGGAGGGGTTGGGTGGACCACCTGCGGAGAAGTGGCGTGTTCCACGTCTGAATATCCGCTGCTTTGGTTTTCTCCTAGCAGAGTGCTGATTCCAGTCGCCGTGGTGGGATTGGGGAGTCTCTCACTTACTGTAGAAGATTTATCACTTCTTTTTGTAAAAGGCCTGTTTCTTCTAGCTTGCTGCGTGGTGGGAGTTCTCTCTGACGAAGATCCTTTCTTATTTACGCTTGGGACATTTCTGGTTAAGGTGACTTTCACTCCATTCACCTTCACGTCACCGCTGCAGGTCAGTTGCAGCCTGCTTCCTGGAGACACAACCACCACACCAGGAGGAGGGTCTGTACACACACGCACGCACACGCACGCACACACGCACACAAAAACATACATTTGTTGCAAAGATACAAATGATGCTGGATGCTTTGTGGGTTTAATCAGGACCTTATTGTGCTGCATTGTGGTGTATTTTAAATGTTAGGGCTGATCCCAGATCAGTAGGCACAGATAGGATGCAGCGTTGCATAACAAAAATTACCAACTCCTTCAAAACTTCCTCTTTTAATCTGTCTCTCTCTCTCGCCCACACAGTTGCTCTTCTACCCTGAACTTTTTCTTCTCTGATAATCGCACGTATGTGCATGACAAGTTCCTTAAATCTTATTGATGTTTTGATTTATCTGAACACAAATATCTCTCTCTACCACTGAATAAAAGAACAAGTGATCCAAATTAAATATATTGCCGTAATTGGTCACAAGTAATCAAAATAAGTTACTTTATTACATTTAATAAGTTGCCCAGGTAAACAAAGAAACCTCACTACTATATAAAGTATATTTGAATGTCAAGAAGAATAGCACATTTAAACATTTTTATAACTTTTACATGGATTTGTCTCCTCTACTGCAAGATATAATTCATCTGACGGTGTCTTCTTTTTTCTCAAACTAATTTTAGTTACTTTTTGTCCAACGATATTAAAGAATCTAAGTTCTAAAAATGTAAAAATAATATTGAAAAATTATAACCCAATAAGTTTATTAGACTGAGTTCAGTAATCTGAACAGAACAACGCTAAAGATTAACAGTTATCTTGCCCCAATGACAAAAAGACAATTAAAAAGGACAAAACATCAATTAAACTATACACAATGTAGAGAAAATATTGGTAAAATATTGATTTGTTCTTTATTTTCTGCCAGAAAAAGCGTGAAACTAAACGTGAAATTAAGCCCAGCTGATGCAAAGAAGATTTTTAAAAAAAAATTCAACAATGAAACAAAGTCATGATGAAACAACTTGATCTTGCTGTAAAAATTTAAAAACACATTTAGATTATTGACTGATGTCTCACCTTCTCTGGGACAAAGGCCATCAAAAATGCTCCACACTGGCAGGACGCACGAAAAGCACAACAAAAGTAGCAGAACATCCATCTTTGGAGTTGGTCCCCCATCGACAAGTCCTCAGACCATCACTGACGCTCGAGCTACGGCTGCAGAGCACCAAGTACCATTCAACTTCATGAAGTCTGAGAAGGAACTGACTGTATTCTAGTACAGGCAGGATTATTAAAGCAGGATTCATGTGGCCGCATCAGCGCGTTGTCCGTACGACCCGTTATTGTGAAATCCCAGTGCTCTTCCCCCTGTTCAGCGCCGTTGCACAGAGGAAATCCTCCTCAGCGCCAAAATAAAAACCCTCCTGAAAGCTGAATTTAGGTCTACAACTGTACTGTCAATTTAGTACAGTCCTCCTGTACAGTTTTGACATTTATTTTAAGTACTTTTCTGACTGATATTATAACTTGGACAATCACATAATGAGTGTATATCTTTCATATAGTTTTTAAAAAATGTAATGTCTTCTAAAGTTTGACAAAAGAATTTTAACTTAAAATCTTCTAATAAGCATCACATATTTGTCTTTGTGGCCTAATGTAGAATTATTTAGAATTTATTTTTATTTTGAACATTACAGATAATAAAACCTTGTGTTGCCTGTTTTGTCTCAAATTACATTTACATTGTAAAAGTCTGGTTATTCAAAGACAAAAAATAAAACAAGCAATGTGTGCTATTTTCAAAAACTAGCCAGGGATTTGTTTCAGAAGGTTTTGCACAAACAAGACAAAGTTTTGAACAGATCTTGCATAACATAAAGAAAAGGTACATTTACAGTAATTTATAAAAGTATTTTCATCATATTTTGTCTCATTACCACCGCATGCTGTTGTATTTTGTTCTAATAATTTGTAATAATTTTTTAAAAAATGTAATATAAATACAGCTATTCTGTGAAAACCCGAGAGGTTTGTTATTCGTTAACACATGAAAACTAAGGAATACAGCAAACCTTATTGAAGCTTGAAGCAGAATCAGGTTAGAAAGCTTTGAAAATCTCACTGAACATTAAAAACAAATATAGACATGGAGTGTGGGACAACTAGAAAACCCACCAACACATAAGAGTCCCTGAGTCAGACAAGAACAACATTAATTAGAGTTCCAGGAGACAGATCTATGGTAACTTTGGGAGAACTGAAAAGATCCACAACTCAGGTGGAAGAATCTGACAGGACAACAAGTAGGTCTGCAAATCTGGCCTTTATGTAGAAAAAAGCCACAGCAGGTCCACTTCACAAAACATGAGGGAAACATGGCAGAAAGTCCTCTGGGGAAATGAACATTTAGCTTTTTGTTTCATATGCAAAACACTATGTGGGTGACAAACTGGGCTGCACAACACACTGAACATATCCTGACAATGAAAAAAGTTTGTGGTGGCTGTATCATGATGTGGGGATGCTTTTCTTCCACAGGGACAGGTAAGCTTGTCAGATTTGATGTGAAGACAGATGAAGCTCATAACTGGTAGAAAACCTGAAAAAGAATTGAGACTGGGTCTAAGGTTCACCTTCCAACAGAGCGAAGACCCTAAACTTACAGTCAGAACTACAATTAAGCGGTGCTGATCAAAGCATATTTATGTGTTAAAACAGTTTAGTCAAAGTCAAGACCTAAACACAAATCAGAATCTGTTACAACATAGTCAAACCTCAACAGGTTTGCAGCAGCAGTTACAAGTTTGTGGTTTATGAACTAAGAGGGCTAAACACTTACAGCACTTGGTCTGAAGAAGCCACTCTTTTCAAATTTCTAAAATATTTTAAAGGTTTCTTCTACTTCACAATAAGGCATTACTTCGCGTGGCCAATCACATAAAATACAGATACAATGCAATGAAACGTGCTTCCAATGTGACAAAATGTGGCATAATTCAAGCAGAAATAGTACTTTTGCAATTCACTGCAGTTCCTCTTTGTGATCTTCTTTAAAATGAACTAAACTCAAAAGGGTCAGGGGTCACTGCTTGCAAAAAAATTCTCTTGCTGACCATTTGAAAGGGAAGCAACAAGAAAGCCCATCATTTGGGATTACAAAGGAAAGACGATCCAGAAATGTGATATTTTCATTTTTTATTTACAAGTAAAAACAAGAAAACTTCACAGGAGTGTTTGTTTACAACCAAAAATAGGAATTTGTCAAACAACTTCCGCTATTCTTTGCACTCTGCCCAGATCTGGCATAAATAGTCATGAGTTTCCCTGTTTATCCATTTTTAATTAAGAGGCACATGAAACTAATAGGAAAAAAACGGCTTTTGTCAAAACCAAGGCCTAGCGTTAAAATCAAAGCTCTAAATCCTTCATTTAAGGTGTGACTCAACCAGGCCTTTAAAAACACATCAATATGATGCAAAAAAATAGAATATTAACGAAAAAAACAATAACAAAACGTTGAGACAGACTTGAGGTTAAATTAAGTTGCGTTCTCACTGAGAACTATAACAAACAGATTTTTCAAAAGTGAAAGCTTTTACTGCATCTTACTTCCCTCTCATTCATCTACTTGTTTTTAAGTGTAAGGCATGTGAATTATGCAGGAGAAATGTGACTAATAGCTAAATGTCTCACCATCTGTTTTCAACACTTGACCACATTAAACCTCATTAAAAAAAAGATCAGAACTGTTGATGGGAAGGTCAAGGCCATTAGAATAAGCCGCTTCCTCTTGTGAGATATTTTGAAATTCTTTCTCAGTTATGTGTCTGTAAGAATCAGTCTTTGCATGGATCCAGAACAATCCACCATGCTTTCTGTGAGGGAAACTATCTTGCGCATGGGTTTCACTCAATGTGGGGGGTTTCTGTGGCATCATCTGGCGGGTCTTGGGTGCTAGAAGCACTGGAACAGCCCCTCCGACCAAACAGAGCTTCCTGTAGAGATAAGAGAAGTCATAATATAACTACCGTGCAAAAGTGCATCAGTCTATTTTTTTAAATGAAAAAGCAGCTGACCTGCACAGTCTCCAGAGAGCGTGTCCAGCCTCCAGGTGAGTCTGTCCTGGCTGCAGCAGATGTAGAGCTGTCAGCAGGAGCGACCGGAACAGGGGCCTGAGGCTCAGCCGGATCCGAGGCTGCTGGATGTGACGATGAAGACAGGACAACTGCTGTGTCAGTTTCCTCCTCGATTGGTGTTTCTTGTGAGCCTCCCAGAACAGAAGAAGAGTTTGACAGGGCCGGACCCGTCCCGGACATGTTACTGGGCGCCGGGCTGCACTCTCCAGACGTACTCGGTGGAGTGTGATTGTTTTTCTTCCTGCGAAGCGTTTCGATCCAGCTGGAGCTGTGTTTGGAGGCAAAATTGGCGAGGGCCAAGGAGGAGAGCCTCATGTTTTTTCCCGAGGTGATCAGCTCTCCAAAGCCTTCTTGATGGGAGAAGGCGTAGCCGGACCGCCTGGAACCCCCTCGGGCGCCGAGTCGACCCTCGGAGACGCTGCCTGTGCCGCGCCAGGCTCCTCCAATGCAGCGACCTGCTGGTTTCCGCCTCTTCTGTCTCACCAACTGTGTGTGACGCACCTGTAGATGCACCAAAATAATGAAGGATGGCTATCACTTTTAGTTGTTGTGAATTATAAAAAGCATTGTGTTAATTTCATTTTTGCTGTATTTTCTGCATATAAGATGTACAACATTGGTGGTACGTTTTGCTTTCAGTTCCGATTTGACTCAACGGGGAGTCCACAGGCTGAAACTCCCGAGTCAGAAGCAAATGTTTGTCTCTATCTCATCGAAACTTCAAACTTTTTCAACTTTTTCAAGAGAAGCTAATGTCAAACTAAAGAGGAACCCTGTCACAGCAGATTTGCTTGGCTGACTTTCCCCCTCCACCCTCTCCCACAGTTTCGGAAAGCAGCACTTGTCATTAGGCCACACTGATTAGGTCAATATTCGCTGTAACTTTAGTCTGCACGGTTTTTAGCTATGCAGTTAACGACTGGCCTAACTTGATTTCAAACTGATACACTGGGGAAGACACATTGGCTCGTGTTGCAATGCGGATGAAAACATCGCTTCTGAAAACTGTGCTCTTTCTCACCGTGTCTGAGAGCTGAGGCTTGACGTCCAGCTTGAGGAAGCGGAATGCCAAAACTGGAACTACGCATATTGCTGTTGCTAGTGCAATAGTTAACCACACAACTGGCTGCAATAGCGTGTTCTGGGCACTACCTGTACTCAGAAAACACACACACACACAGAAAAACATGAGCACGCATCCTTTGAAATTTGAAGTATTTTTTTGATGTAACAGGAAAGTTAGTTTTTAAAATTATAATAGGATTTTATGCCACTATTAAAGTACAGTTACAATTTAGATATATATTAGATAAAACAGATCTGTAAAAAAAAATTAAACAATTATCTCACCTGAGATGGAAAACAAAGTACATTTTTACATGTTTTGTTTAGTTGAGCACTTTGCAAATGTCGTTTTATTCCTAGATCTTTTTTCACATTCAGGAATTTTAAATCTTGTTTTTTTTTGGATTTTCTGTGACTTACCAATATAAAGTAGCACATAAAAGTGAAGTGCAGAGAAAAATGTATGTAGTTGTGTGTAAATAGATAAAAATCTGAAAATAATTAAATTGATTTAATTCAGTTTAATTTTCTTTCACAAATAAGACGAAGCACCAAGCAGGGCAGACCCTCCCACAGAGTCCCCAACATGCCACGCATATATACAAGCAAGCTACTTTGTGTCGGTTTATTACATAAACCTAAATAAATGACACTGAAGTTTGTGGTTGTGATGTGACAAAATGTAAGAATGTTGAAGGCCATGAACATTTTTGCAGGGCTTTGTTTGGAGCCCAGAGACGAGAGCAAGGGACCAACCTATGAAGCGGAACTGATTGGGAAAGATCCTGAAGAGGGTCTGGCTATGCAGCGCCAACATGATGGTGAAATAGGAGCCCACAGAGCCCCAAACGAACATGTGGTTAAAGACCGTCCAGAAGCCTGTATCTAGAGCGATCTGCAAATAAAGGCATTGTGATTATTTACCAGAGGAGTAAACAGCTGTAAGATAAGCTAACTCCAAACAAGAGTCTCTCACCTGTACACTGACAACAATGACCAGGGCTGTCGCCGTTGTGACAGCGAATGTCTGGTAGTCGGCGAGGGGCACCCCGTTGCTCTGAGTGGCATCGGACAGCAC